ATTACCTCTTATGCTGTTTTGTCACTATTAGAGAATAACTTAATTGGTGATGCTTTGCCCGTTCTCAAATGGTTAATGAATCAACGTAATGACTTGGGTGGTTTTGTTAGCTCTCAAGATTCTGTGGTGGGCTTACAGGCCTTAGTGTCATTTGCCGAAAGATTTTCAAGTCAAGCTAATAATTTGCAATTATTATTTAATTATGGTGAAAATGCTGAAACTGTTTTGAATGTTAACGCTCAGAATTCTTTGGTTCTACAAACGATAGAGGTATAATATTTTAGATAATTTATAATTATCGAAATAATTTATAATTACGAAATTCTATTTTATAGTTGCCCAACAATTTGAAAAATCTTACGGTTTCTGCTACCGGTAATGGTTTGGCTTTGGCCCAAGTGACTTATCGTTACAATACGAATGTCACCAGTGCTTGGCCTCGTTTTGTATTGGATCCAACTGTTAATAGAAACTCCCATTCAGATTATTTACATTTATCGGCGTGTGCCAGGTAATTGTACTTGGTTGAACTGTGTATTAATTATCAAATTATTAACTTAATCTATATGTTTTAGTTTTGTACCCACGGAAGGTGATTCAAATCGTTCGAATATGGCTGTTATGGAAATTTATTTGCCCAGTGGTTTTGTTGTGGATACCGATACTTTGCCAACATTGGAGTCCAGTGACAGAATTAAGGTAAGGAAGTATTGGGTGTATAACATTAAAATGCGGGAGCCACAATAAGGGTTTGTGTCGTTGATGTGATGATATAAGCTAAGAGCCATCACACAGAAGGATTTTAGTCGTGCCGCGAAGATCTTGAGGCACTCTCAGCTACCCTAAATAGCAGAGTACCTGTGAAAGTGCGGTCTTAGTGCAGATTGATCTGTCGAATGTCTTTGTCAAAGTCAGCCATGCCACACTTCTTGAATATATCCTCCCATCCACAATGCCCAACAATACGAAGAGATGGGTCTTAAATTATCTGAGTGGACGTCAATCTTTCGTAAAGTTTAGAGAAAAACGCCCAAAACCTCGTTAAACATGGGCTATCCCAATGCGGAGTTCTATTGACGCTATTGCTTAATATCTAGCTCTCTAAATTCTCTGCACCTCTACATGGAGTTGATGTGAACAATTATTTACTGCGCGAAATCTGCATATATCAGCTGAGAAGTCGTCAGCAACATTAATTACAACATGGACGAAGAAAGTAAATCTTACTATTGGCGTCGTAGTCATTGGAGCCCAAATTGACATTTGACTGCCTAATTACTTCCTTAGCTCATGCCATAGCCATCACGCACAAATTGCGAAATATAATAAATGTCCTCAAAGCGTTAGCTGGCATCTCTAGAGGCATGGATAAAGAAACCTAATTGGCTATAAATGAAATGATTGGTCGTTCAGTTACATTACCTACACGAGGAAACGAAGGATCTCCCAGTCAATGAACACAACGTCATGTTGGCCAAACTGTTTATCCTGGGATGTCATCGGACTAGACAATATTTTATGGGTAGAAAACAAATGGAGTTATGTACAGGATCCATTGGATTAATATTCAGCTACTCTGCCGACCCTACTTCACTGTGTCCAATGAATTTATGGACGTATCCAGCTTGCTTCAAATGTTAATCCAACAAAACATCAACTGCCTAAAGTTTTGATTTACTTCCTCTATTTGATAAAAGTTCTGCAGAAAAACAGGGATTGCTCACCGAAGCTTGCATTTTCCATCGATTTTGACTTGAGAGAAAATATTCATTTTCGGTTCAAAAGTAGTGATTTTGACAAGGAAGATAATGACTGCTCAAGTCAGCCATTTTTTAAGGTTATTGTTAACTTAATCAGCAAAGAGATTTGGTACCCACGATTCGAAGCCAGGAGTCGTTGAAAAACGATTGAATAATTACTGTTAATGAATAATTTATTTATTTCAAAAACCTTAAACGCACAAATTGTTTGGCGCCAAGGTACCTCTCTGTATTTGGTGCGCGATCAGCAGAAATCAGATTAGAAAATTCTAGGCACATATTCCGTTTGACAATGAAATATAATGAAAATGGTCGGCTATATATAGTAAAACCAGTAAAAAAGTTTTTGGTAAGCGACTTACTGTCCAGATGTTGTCCCCCCGGGAGCATGTTACTTTGGTGAAATCTTCACATTGGTGTTATCGCAATATCCCGGGGAAAAGAGGTGCTATCAATGCCTCTAGTCTGCCGGACTATAAACTGGTGATGATCAAATGTATCCTCGGCCTTTCCTTGGAATGATTTGACATGGGGTTTAACCAGAGTACCATATAATCTGTCACTACGGGTGGCCAGTTGCCCGCAGGCTGGTCTGTTGGTTGAGGTTCCTTCGGGATCGACGTACTGGCTGTGGTTTATACCCAAATTCGCGGGGAGAGAATGTTGGTTCAAGGACTGATATATGTAGTATATCCAAATGCCTTCTATTGACTTTAGACCAGTGATTGCTTGTTCCTCCTCGGGGTTTGCATTGGCATTGATCCCATGCTGCCTGTCAATCCGCAACGGGACAAGAGACATGTACAAAAATTGCCACCTGAGTTCTTCATAGAAGGATTTAGGGGCGCGTGGTAGACCGTCTCAAGTCTACCCAGTCGATAAAAAATATCACCGTGAAATAAGGCCGTCAAGGCAGATGTTCACGTAAAGCACTCGACAATCTTGTCCAGATCTTGCTCTGTTTAAATACAATTCGTTTCCAGCCAAAATCAACACCAAATCCATCCATAGTGTCAAGAAACTTTTTAGAAAATTGTGATTAAAATCATTTGAGTCATTCACCCTACAGACCAGGTCTTTGCCTTCAACAGCTATTCATCTTGATCGATGCAAAAAGCTCTCACTGGTTTATGCTACACAAAAAAGCTTGATACATTCTTAGCCTTAAACAAGTAAGAGTGTTATATTCGGCTATGCCGAATCTTATATACCCACCATCAAACCTCGTTTGACTCGAATGAAATTTACTTATGTCGAATTTCATCTATAGAATCGTATTTTTAGGCCAGTTATAAGCGTTAAAGTAATTTTTTGAAGAGGACCTTATATAGGGGGGTAGGGTCAATTATGGGTCGATCCTCATAAAATTTGGTAGACAGAATTTGGTTCATATTAAATTTATTTGTGTCGAATTTCATCGCTACACTCTTATTTTTAAGCCATTAATGAGCGTTGCAGTCATTTTCTGAAGGGGACCTTATATGGGGGGTAGGGTCAATTATGGACCGATCCTCATCAAATTTTTTAGATAGATTTTGACTCGTATGAAACTTACTTATGTCGAATTTTATCTATATACTAGTATTTTTAAGTCAGTAATGAGCGTTAAAGTCATTTTCTGAAGGGGACCTTATATGGGGGGTAGGGTCAATTATGGACCGATCCTCATAAAATTTTGCATAGTGATTTTGGATCATAAGGAACTTACTTATGTCGAATTTTATCGCTATATTCGTATTTTTAAACAAGTTATGGCTGTTAAAGCTGCTTTTCGAGGGGCCACTTGTATGGGGGCTATCCGAAAACGTGGACCGATATTGCCCATTTTCAATACCAAACAAACCTTACTTATAAGAAATATTTATGTGAAATTTCAACCCTCTAGCTTTTTCCATTCGGACTTCATCGTGCTTTCAACAGACAGACAGACGGACGGACAGACGGACAGACATGGCAAGATCGTCTTAGAATTTAATGAGGACCCAGAATATATATACTTTTGTGAGTCTATGACCAATATTTCGATGTGTTACAAACGGAATGACAAAATCAATATACCCCCCATCTTTTTTGATGGTGGGTATAAAAATGAGGAATTCTTCTGGCGTATAAACCATATGGTGGCAGATATAGAGGAAAAACGTCTTAGTAAACAACAGGCAATCCTTCCAATAAATTTACATTATAACAATATTTTACAAAAAACGCCAACAATTTGTCAAAAATTCCGCATTTTTTTAAAATATACACCCAATACAAATATATTTTACAAAGATTTGAATAAATTCATAATAAAACAATAATGGTTGTATCATGAATAAATTAAATTTTTTTTCTTACAGAAAGTGGAAACCCAAAAACGTAATACTGTAGTTATAATTTACTTCGATTATTTGGATCGTAGAGAAGTATGTCCCACTTTACATGCCTACAAAGTGGTTAAAGTAACAAATCACAAGCCAGTGCCTCTTATAATGTATGACTACTATGACAATGGTAAGTAACATTGAAACAAATCTAAATTAAATAAAACTTTTTAAACTTACTTTTTAATTTCAAATTCATTCTTATAGTACGAAGAGCTAGACAATTTTATAGAGCTCCAAAATCAAACATATGTGACATTTGCGAGCATGCCAATTGCGGGACATTGTGCGAAAAAGCCGAAAAACGTGAATCTCGTAAACTAGATACAAATGAATTACTTGAAGAACGCAGTTCAGCCGGATTATTAGCTGTAAATACAATTATAATGTTATTAGTTGTTGTACTATATAAAATAATTAATTAATAAGAATGTAATAATATTGCCCAATATATTTTAGTTATAAAAAATAAACTTATACTCACTCAATTAAAAAACGATACCGCCCCTTTAATAAAGCTTTAACAAACAATAATTAACCATATAAATTGTTATATATTAATAAATCATAATGTATCTGTATTTAAAAAAACTGTGTATTAATGAGAAAATTTTGTACAATTAAATGAAATTTAATGTAAAATATGAAAAAAGTGTAAAAAACCATGTATAAGACCTTATAAAAATAATAATTTAATGTAAAAAAAGACTAAAAATATTTAATATTAACTAATATTAGTTTAAGATACTATATGCTAATTATAAAATGAAAATGTGCGAAAATTATTCAATTTAAACAAACGAAAAAATTTTAGTTTGTAAGTGTATAAAAAATGCCGCTCTTCTCTAATAAATATAAATTTAACAAGACTAAACTTAAACTATTTTTATTGGTTTTCTTTTTTAATTTATTTGCGCTTCGGTTTTTTACTTTCCATTAAACTCATAATAGTTTTACGCAATTCTTCGGTTTCACTTAATTCCAATTCATAGTTGCGTATTTGTTCATTCTTCTCTTGCAGCTGGGATTCGAGTACTGTTATTACACCATCGGATTTCTTTTTAGCTTCCTTTTGTTCTTCCAGTGCCTTCTGCGTTTTAGCCAAATCACGTTCTTTCTCTTCAATGTGTCGCACTTTTTCTTTGATGTCCACTTCAAAGGCAGCTATAGTCTTTTTCAGTTTATCGATTCGGGAACTCTGTAATTTTAATGTGAAAAAGAAGTTTAGATAACCATAAAAATATAATTGAATTGCAGTTATTTGAACCAGTTGCTCTAGAATCGGAACTAATAGTTATTTCCCTTTTTTATTTCAATAAAAATAAGAACAACATATTTATATTTTTGGAAAAACTTGATGTTTTTTTAAATGTTTGCATCATGTAACAAGTAAAATAATAAGAGCAAAAAGGGTAATTTGATTTAAATAAAAGAAGTTTTAAACAATGGGTCCAGGAAGGTACAAAAGTAGATATGGGGTTAAAGAGTACACTTTCATATTTCTTCTGGTAGTAAAATTTGTTTAAACCCTTTTGATCCTCAAAAGATCTATTCTGTCTTTGTTTATAACATTCCACTACTGTTTCAGCAGGATTTTTTACCGGGGTCCGTACCGACTCGAATTTCGTGAAGTTGAAGTCTATGAGAGTCCTTTTTTCCACAAAATAAAATTGGTAGGCATCAACATGTAAGCATAAAAATTTTGCTACTTCAACGGAGCGCGTCCCTAAATCTATTGGATAAAGTGAAATAGGGATGAATGTGTGGTGGATATCGTGGGGATCCAGACCAGGTTGGACAGGTTCTTTAGAACGGCACGATCTAAGCGAAACCATTAGGCGTTAAGCCTGTTAATGTGATGTTAAGTTTGAAATGACTCCTCCGCTCCGGTGATATTTATTGGGAACTGTTTAGTCAACATTATATTGTGTTGCGAATATAAAAACCTTCTTGTAGATGATGATCTGAGAAAATTTGCAAACAAACCGTTCCAGACCAACGGGTATCAGAAAGCGAAACCACAATGTCAAATGTCGAAAAAAAACAGGCATTCTAGAACCATCTTGGCACAATTAAGAGCTGTTTGGTGTCACCAAAGTTCTCATGACACGGTGCATTTATTCCAATAAGACCGACTGAGGTGGCGCAGTATCTCCAGCTCTCCCTTCCATCCACAGACACAAACTCAAATAATTAAGTTTTATTATTCTAATTTCAGGAAAGAACTATCGGCCGAAGTCGAACAACAATGTCAAATCGTTCCCACGACAATTGGATCTTCGCTCCGGAACTACCAGAGTCATACTCGGCCAGAGATTATCCAGCGATAGCTATATCAACCGAAATCATCAGCCTTTTTTCAACAGCCTTAGAACTGAAAGAGCATCTCCAACAGCATGACACTAAATACAAACTTTAATCTAATCACGGGGTACGGCATCAATGCCTAGCCTAAAAATTGTGCTACTTCAACAGGACGCGTTCCAAAATCCATTGAACAATGTGAAGTAGGGTTGAATGTTTGACGTGTAAAATAGAGATCTAGACCACAAACTGGGCATTCGTTAGGACAGCACGGTCTAAGCGAATCCAGTAGACGTTAAGCATATTGCTCCATCCTATGTATGCTCCCACTATTACACAAAAATTCTTCCTGACATGGCTTGGGGGGGCATTAAACAGTGTGATGTTAAGTTTGGAAGCTTGACTTTGAAAACCTTCTTGTATGTGATGTTCTGAGGTAATTTGCAAACAGCGTTACAGTTCTTAGGACAGTATTTTTCACAGCATAATATGTAACACCATTAGGTATCAGAAAGCGAAGAGAACCACATTATCAAATAGTGAATATATACATACGTGTATTGAATTGACAATCTTTAGTCGCTGTTCGTTGAACTCCAAGTTGTTCCGGTGTGAAGAACCGATTGGTAACGAACGTGGGACAATATCAAATTATCGCCGGATTGGGAAGTTATTAACAGTCTTCAACACACAACATACATACATACAACAACAAGGTCCTTAGTTATTTTGGGATGAATATGCCTAAGTAAAATCTTGCGACGGTCCTGAATAAAGCCCTCTGAATTTTGCATCACATACACAAATGCCACATTCGAATGGACTTCCAACAGATCGTCATTCCACTAAATATCGGGAGATTGTTGCAAATGTTAAGAAAACTTTTCACAAATTGTGTTCTCCGAAGGTATTATTGGCAAACGGATGTAACAGAATCCTGAACGTACAACCCCTTGCTATTTAAAAAAGTGATGGTCGGTTTCATAAACTGCTACCATTAACGATAATCAAAAGATCATTTTTGAAATATTGACAAAATAAATGATTATACAGAAATCTACTGTTTTAGGATAAAGCCAAACATGGTGATTAATGATCCGTTCCTAGTTCTTCCCTTGACAACTTCAGACAATGTCTGGCTATCCATACCCCAGATTTAATTTGTAAATATAACATTCACGAACGGTTGCTTTTCATCTTTTCCTTCCCCATAAACACAACATTTTCAATGTAGTAAAAATATTTTATTAAAAAGCCTTAAATATAAAAAAATGTGCAAAAATTAAAAAAAAAAAAACATTTAAAAATTTCCACTTAACAAATGATCGTCGTAAATATTTGCATATCTAATGCCTGAAGCGGGTTTGCGAAACTCCAATATCGTGGAAGGTGGTGCATTTGAGGTAGTTTTCGAAGCTTGCTTTAAGCGACGCTGATGTAAAATGTATAATAAGCCCAGTAACAATAGAATTAAAACGAATATAAGCGGAATAATATAAGTTAAAGGTGAGGCCTTTTGTACAAAATCCTTGTTAGTGGTAGTGGGATTAATCTGCATATCATTACTAGTTTCAGGTCTAGAACTAGTAGACAAAGTTGTAAATGCAGGCGTTGTAGTAGCAGAAGTGGTAACAACTGCTCGAGTAGAAATGGTGGTGATGGTAAAAGTATTAGTAAAACGGGTAGTTAAAGAATTAAAAGTGGGTAACGAGGTGACAGCAGTTGGTAGAATTTCATTATTTATAATGGGTCTCAAAGTAGTGGGTATATTTACGAGAGCCGTTTTAAGAAAACCAGTTTGTGAACAAGAACATCGTAAGAATTTACCCATTACCAAAGATTTACAAGGTTCTGTTGACCAAGGTGCTGTATAAGAAGTTTTCATTAGACATTTGTTGACATGCTGTTCTAGGGGATAAATATCCAGTTGCACATTAGTGGGTGTTTTATTAATGTTCTCTAGTTTTATTTCTTCTAGGTCTGTATTACTAAGGATTTCATATATATTATACTCTATCAAAGAGATGTCATCCTGTAAATTCTCTTTAAAATTGTAAGATTTGATGATTAAACAATATTTTGCTTGAGGTTTTATAAAATTCATATTTATATTTTTAAATTGCAGTATTAGTTTGTCGAAAACATTTTCGTTTATTTGTGTGGTGTGCTGCTGAAGAAAAGCTCCTTGTAATTTTCTCAAAGTCAAGGAAACCAGAGAGGATTTAAGCGACTCTTGTTTAACATCTTCATTTAAACACATCTTTTTAGCTAAATTTGTTATTTTTCCAATGAAATTTTGCAAAGCTTGCGAAGAATAATCTTCTGATTTAAGTAAATCTTCTAATAAAGTTAATTGAGTTTTGGTATATAATTCCTGAGAATGATTGACGATTCTTCTCTTTCTGCTGGAGCGTTTAAAACGTGCTTGCTTTTGTAAATCAACTTTGGTGTCGGTATAGTCCATGAGATTTTCCAGTATCTCTAGCAGTTTTTGCAGCATAGTTTTATTAATTAAATGGGTGTAATCTAGAATTTCTTTGCATTTAACTACAAATATTAATTTTGAATCGGAATTTATATAGAATTTATCTTCAGCCTGCTCTAGAAGTTTATCGATTTGTTTTTGTATAGTCACTTTAACAAATTCCTGCCATTTTTCATACAATGGAGACTGGGCGTTTTTTAATGTTATAGTGGCCATTATGAGATAATTACAAGCCTCTTGCAAATCGGTTCTCATAAAAAGACCATTAACTTTGTGTTCGTAAGCTGCATAATCACGATCATTGAATTCTTCATAATTTAAGGACAATTTAGTATCATTTTTAATTGTACTACAAGCCTGACGAATGTCACATAGTTCCACTGTTATTTCTAGAGGTGTGAGCGTATAGGGTAAAATGGTTTCCCAGGTTTTGTATTGAAAGTATTTACCAAATGATAGCTCAAAGTTATCCATAGTAATCTTAAGTTCATAGCTAACAGGAGAATCCAAGAGTAGATCTTTTGCTTCTTGAGAATTTATATTGAAAATAGTTTTCAAAGCGACACCTTGTAGCGGATCCAGGGAAACTACTAAGGCTTGTGGCGGGGCATTCGTGTGTATGTCTATAATGAAATAGCTAGTGACCACTTTTACCCAAGGTTCGCCTTCTATATCTCCCTGCTGGGTGTTTTCGTTAAACAATTTGGGACAAGTAACATCCAAACGAAATTTATACATAGAATCTCCTTCAAAGCCCGGCCACATTATATCAGTTTTTATATGTTTTGTGGGTATATTTAAGGTAATTTCCCGATTAACGGTGGAATTTGTAAAGTCTATAATTTCCTCTAGATAATATTTCTCCAAATTGGATATTTTCGTATAACCATAGTGTTCCTTATCAAGTACACCGCTGGGTATAAGTTTGAAACCTTCTTCTTGGGCACTCAGCCAACTGGCCTCACAATTCGCCACCATATTCATGACCATAACAGAAAATTTAAACTCTTCATAGGAGGAAGGATTTAAATTGGGTATTTCCTGAAAATCATAGCTAATAAATACCGAAGATATCACCTCAATATCGGCTTTTACTTTAGTAACTATGTCATTGATTTTAATGTGAGCAAATACTTGATAGATTCCTGCCTTTTCGAATAGTACTTTAAAATAGTTCTCATCATCTTCTCTAGTCTGCAGGGCATCATTTGTGGCGGCATTCTCTACCAACCACTTAATTTCCATTTGTTGTACACGATCATAATTGCGTAGAAATAAACGAAAAGTTAAATGTGTTCCTTCGCCAATTCTGGCTGCACAGGGTATAATCATGGCCTGAAATCCTTTATTCAGTACCTCCACCCAAATTACATCTTTAGCTAAAAGTCTATTGCTGCCATTTTCCTTTACTTTTGCCTCTATAGATGTTTTCCTGTCAGCACTTAAGGCATTTGGTGGTATCAACAAAACACTTGAAATGGTGTATTCTATCATTTGATATCTCTCTTCTAAATCGGTTACTTTCCACTGTATGTAGTAATCATTTTTGGGCTTACAAAAAGTCACTTTAGCCATGACACTATACTCTATGCTGGCCACTATTTCTTCGGAGCCTATAAGCAGAAAATTAATGCCTTCCGGCACATTGCTGTTCTGTAAAACTCCCTCAGCATAGTCTATGGTAAAGACCTGTTCCCGGCTTGTTTCTCCTGCATCTGTTATACCCACTACATGGAATATATAACTCACTCCTGGCACCACTTGTGTTTTCTTTATTAAGGCCATATTATTCTTCATAATATGTAATCTTTCTTTGCTATTGAGGCGCTGTTCCAAAGCTCTTACTGCTTTCCATACCAGTAAAGTTTCACGTTGCGTTAAAGGTTCTGGTCCAATAATTTTAAAGAAAATTTTAAATTTATAAGACAATTTAATACCATCCTTGGGTTGGAACGTTATAGTCACACCATCGGGTTGTTTAGTGCCACTTTCTGTGTCATTATGTTTACAAAGATTTTGTGGCGCAACAATGCGAAAAGATGGAACTTCTTCTGTTACAATCTTTGAGATTTGTAATAAAAATATTAAAATTTTTATATATTCATATAAATGCTTCATTTTTTGTTGCGTTGAATTGAATGGTGTGTATGATAGTGCAAAAGAATCGTTGAGTTATTGTTTGTGGTTTTGTTGTTACCATGGTAACACAAATGCCGGTTGCAATTAGTGTGACATTCGAGAGACCATTAGTGTGACATTCAATTTTTTTTAATATCATTAAGCAAATGTTGTTGACAACATTTTAATGGATTATTAATGTTTTTAAATTGTTAAGTTTATTAAAGGTGTGATTATCATTTGAGGAATTTTGAGGATTTAAATAAATTAAGTTAGTTCAGGTTTGAGAAAGTTTTCAGAATCGTTCTAAATGAAAACTCTTGGAAATCGACCTGTTTCCATTTCTTTCTCCTCTCTATTTATGTTCTTTTCGTTTTTATAGGGTTTTGTTTCTCTATCTGCGGATATTCACACTCTATGGTATTCGAATGGGGTGCCACCTTCCTATGGTGCATAATCCTTTTTAACCTAAACCTAATGAATAGACTTTATTCTATCGTCATAGGTAAAAGCTATAGTCGAACTGTTACAACAAAAACTTGGACGAAAGATAAAATATCAATTTCTTCGTTCTAGTTGATATTAATCCAATTTCAGAAAAATGTTTTTCCTCAACTTATGTCACTTCAATAACGCATAATCAACAGGTTGCATACAAATTATCTTGGAACACTGATTACACGAAAAAAGTTTCTCCCAGCCAAGAAACACAACATGGTTCTAAGAAGACATTTCTCTGAAATAAATCATCCAAACTTTAACATCGAAAAGTTAAAGGATTTCTCGAGACACGTTAGAATACTTGCAGCATTGCGTACTTTTCCCTTGTCAATGTGTCGAATGGATTTTGGGATCCTAAGCAAAATATATTGTAGCTTTAGCTGTTACAACAACCAAATTTTGAGTACCACGGTACTTTATATCGTAACTACAGAATGATTTATAAACGTTTTTGTGACATTAACAATAGATCCCTAAATAGTAAGATGGATTACAAAATCTCTAAGGACATGTTACTAAACCTAGATAGTAAAGTTACCAAATCAGAACCAACGTGTGGTTTAATACAGGTCACTATTTGAGCTTGAGGTCACTATTTGGTTAGTGTTCTAGTCTGTTAGACCGGAAGTCGTGGTTTCAATTTCCACGGGAGACACTGGTAAAAGAGCGCAACAGTCTGGTGTATTTCTTCGGATTAAATGTAAGATACATCTTCCTTCCAAACTAACTAACTAGAGGACTATAAAAACTTTTCAAAAGCATTTAGCAGATATTTCGTTATTCAGGCAAATTAGAATTTATCATAATATGCATAAACAAAGGAGCATTGCGCTCTAATTAGATCTTAAATGTGGTCAATAATGTTTTTTTAAATTTAGTCCACGAACCTGATGTAATGGAGAAATTCTGAGACCTGATTCGGATACAACGTAGCTGTTAGCTTATGAAATGAACACCATTTAAGAAAAAATTTCAATCCATACTTTTTCTGCTGGTGTTTTGAATCTAATCTTGTATTATTTAAATCAAAAGCCATTTTAAAAATCTACTTACATTTTCCTTAGCAGCCGTATGAAGTTTCTCTAACTCCTCTGTTTTAGCATGCAGTTCTTCTTTAAGGTCATTATAGTCTTTTTGTAAAACTAAAAAAGATAAACAATACAATTTTAAGTTAATTATATAATTAATTTCAATTATATTATTGAAAACATACCAATCATTTCGGATACCTTAACCGCCAAACGTTTCTCATTAATTTTCAAAGTTTCCGACTGTTCCGAAAGTTTTTTCATTAAATCAGTCATATTACGTTTCAAATTATCTTTTTGATGTTTTAAGTCTTTGCACTGAGTCTGCAAAGATTCCTGATTAATATGCAGTTCAAAGTTCATGGTGTGATATTTGTCCAATTCGGCATTTTGTAAATTAATACGTTGCGTTAAATGTGTTATCTGCAAATAAGGAATTAAAGATAAATATTTTCAGTAGAGAATGTAAGTTATGATGTACAAAACCTCTTTACTAGCTTCTTCGAGTCTTTTTTGCATGGAGTTTTCAGCAGAACTAAATTTTTCAATTTTATAATTAAAAAGTTCTATAATTTGTGAAGTGGCCACATTATGCAGCTGATTATTGTTTTGAGCTTGGGTTATGACATCAATGAGAGCCTGTAAACGTTCCTCCAGTTCCTTGCTAACAAATGTTTTATGACTCTTGAGAATGGCATTTAAATTGCGCCATTGATCTCCGGTAGGAGCAGCAGGAATCAATTGATTTGTTGAGGCATTTAATTTGGAAATAAGCTAAAATTAAAAATTTTTGAATTAAACATTTTAAACAAAAATAATTTTTGTTAAGATTAAACTTACTTTGGCCACTTCTGTTTGTGGAAAATGCTCAAATTGTGATATTTGAAATACAGCTGAACATAATTTCTCACTGCCACTTATCATAGCTCTGGCCAGAGCCTGTTGTATTTGTGACAATTGCAATAGAGTACAACATTTTTCAAAATAGGCTTTTTTAGCTATTTCAGTAAAATTGATAAGTAGCAATAAACAAAATATGAATTTTTCTATCTCCTCCATACTCAAACAATTATCGGGCATTTCGGACTTTATATTCAGCAAAGGTGATAAAATTTTATCAAAATATGATTCGGTTATTTTGGATAATATTAATTTCTCGGTTTTAGTTTGATGCAACAGTGATACTAAAAGTTGTAAAACTGCCGCTGTATGCAGAGCTGACGTATCTGATTTCTCGGTGGCCGTTATAAGTTGTATTATTATGGAGGGATCTCTAGCAATTCGAGGTGCTATGGTCTCTTTTTTAGCTGCAAATAAAATAAATTTTGTAATTAGTTAGTTAGTTAGTTTGAAGGAGGATGTATATACATCAAATCCGAAGAAATACACCTAGGCCTCTATCGGGCCTGTTGTGCGCTCCTTAACCAGTGCCTCAGGTGGGAATCGAACCCACCACCTCCGGTCTACCAGACTAGAACACTAACCACTAACCTACCGGAGGCCACACTAACCTACCGGAGGCCACAATTTTGTAATTAAATGTTTTATTATATTGTTGTTTTAAGATATTACCTAGTCTTACTAAACTATCTAATAGATTAACCGCTTCCACGCCACATATATCAGATTCTAGCCAATTACTTAAAAGCTCAAATATTCGTGGTATATTTGAATCCAAACTTATGGCCACATTTTCATTGCCTTCCATATCGGGTTGAGCTGATAGTTCCATTATGTATTCAATTAATTGAAAGAGTAGACCCATGCAAATTTGTTGTTGCTTGCGAGATTCCTCATTAGAATCGTCCATGGAATTGCGGGCCTCTATATGCTGAAGAAATTCCAAAAAAAATTTAATTGCAAGAAAGTTAAGTTTAATATTTTATTAAAAAAAACTTGATATTTTTATAAATTTTAGTTATTTATGTAAATTAATGTTGGAAAAATTTATAATTCGAAGTTATATCGTGACCCTATATTCAAAAAGTGCGAACTCAATTTTGGGCAAAGTGAGTTTTTGATGCAAAAGGATTCCTCAATGCATGATCCACGTCTGGTATAAATTTGAAACCAAAAAAGTAATTTTTGCACTTTTAACAACAATTTTTGTTAATATGCTATCTCAAAGTTAAATTTTTATTGAAGAAAATAAGTGCTAACTTCCATACAAATTTTAAAAAATTTTTTAAAACTTCAAATTTATTTAAAATTTATTTTGTATATTAACAAGATGAACATGCTGAACACAAAACAGGTGAAGATTAATAAATTTAATGTATAGTTTTTAAGATATTATCATTTATATATTTGTATATAAAGCCAGTTTTAGACTTTAAATAATGTTTTTCCGAAAAATGTAAAGTTATTTCAGAAATCGTTTATAACATTAAGATCTATAATATTCTATGGTTGCAATTTATAATTTTTATTATAAAAAAGTCTTTAAATGTGCAAATTATTCAAAAAATATTGGTACTTTTTATATTCAAAAACGTTTCATAATTTAAAATATTTGTACTGAGAATAAGGAATAGTAAACAAGCAGATATGCCATGAGTTTTTCTACTTAAATGGTGTAAATACATCTTATTGGACTTATTGGTTTGACTTATATCCCTTTAAAAAAAAAAAAAAAAAACATTTCATAAAATTATAAAATAACGCATATTATTAGAAGAAATTTTTGTTCTATTCTTTGAACAAAACATGCTAACTTAGAACAAATATTTATTTTTTTGTCGACCAAAAAGTGCTATCTTAAATAAGTCGCTAAAATGTGCAAAATATTAAAATTTTTTTATAGGTAAGAATTAGTAAGTATGTTAAAAACGTATTATGGAAGAAATATTGTCTTTTAGTGCAATATTTCACGAATTAAATAGTTTTTTTGCTTTCCTGAAAACTAGACTTTATTGATTTAGCACTTTTTGAATATAGGGTAACGATATTCCAAAAAATTTATGGTTATAAAAAGTAATCTCTAAATCAGTTTTCAAATTTTAATTTACTTACATCCAATAGTTTTTCAATATCTTCACAATAGTGCTCATAACACAACATAGCCTGATGTAGACCACTGTGGGCACGAGAATCCCTCAAAAACTCCACAATATGTCTCAAATGCGGAACATTCCAATGTTTAATACAATCATCGACAGCAGCAAAACTAGAGCGTAAAAATAAATGCAACTCTTTCTGATCCGGGGAATGTATATCCTCGGAGAGTATAATTAACATCTTATTCGCCAACATGCCATAGTTTTGTATACGGCGACTAAAACTGGAAATGTTAACGGAGCGCAAAAATAGAAATAAAACCACAAAATTCTTATAACAAAGATTTATCAATATAGACAAGGATAGTTGAGCATGCATTTCTTCTCCCTCCTCGGCAGCTTGATAGACAATTTGCACCAACTGTTCCAATAGTACTATTATATAAGGTTCTTCCCAGGTGATTTTTATGCCAAAAGTTAATTCCTGCAAAAGGGTGAGTAAACGTTGACGTTTATCTCCAGCTTGTGAACGCTTTAGAATAAATGTTAACAAAGGTATATAGCGATATTCATCCACTATGGCTTTGCGGGCCTCTAAATTTTTGCAGCAATGTTGCAAAATACCCACACACGTCCATAGAGCATCAGCATCAATGGACAAGGTTCCCATGACGGCATGCAAGTCGATGAAAAACTTTGAAATTTCCAAATTACCGGGAGCAAAATGATGTGGATGTATGGCTGTGCTTAGTAGAGAGGCAGTACGATTAAGTAGCACTAAAGATTCCTCCGATTTGTTATTGCGATAATGACTCGCCTGGGCACTGAAATCGCGGACATAGCTAAAGGCATTGGAGGTATCGTTGTTATTACTGCTATTATTTTTACGCGACACCATATTTTAGCTTTGAATCTTTAATAAAATAATTATTTTACTCAAAATATGCGAAAAAATAAAATGCAACAAAGGAAAAAACTATTTTTGCGGCACAATCAAATGAAACTTTTGAATGTTTGCAAACTGAGCAACTGTCAGTAGAGCCCTGCGCCGACAAATATTATCGACGGCAGCGGCTGACATTAAAAATGTCAGCGGCGGCTTTAAATCGATTGTAAGGCGGCTAAGTTTGCAACTACAGTGCAACTTCGACAATTCGGTTATCAAAACAGAGCAAGCACAAAAATTGCAGACCTGGGATAAATGCATTAAATGTGTTAATGCATTAACAATTTTTTCTACATTAAAAAAAATTAATGTTAATGCAAGTTTATTGCATTAACATTAACATGGGTACATTTAATGCATTAAATTTGCATTAACATTAAATATTTTTAAATTTAATGCATTAATTTTACATTAACATTAAATATTTGTGAAATTAATGCATTAATTTTGCATTAACATTAAATATGTTTGAATTTAATGCATTAATTTTCCATTAACATTAAATAATAAATAATAAAATTAATGCATTAATTTTCCATTAACATTAATGTATAAAATAATTTATAAAAATAAGAATACAGCGCTAAAGACCTCGGTCTAACAAAATTCAAGTAAAATTGAATGTGTTAAAGTCCTTTCTAATAAGTCCTATACTCGATAATACATATTAGAAGAATAGTATCACTTCCCAGATATTCCATTTTTACCCAGCAAAAAATAATTGCCCAGCAAAAAATAATTGATGTCATACTTTACAAACTACATCTTAATCACATCTTAAAATGCGATTACATATTTTTCACTTTTATAAACCAAATATTTCCTTACAAATGAAACCCCAGTTAAAAGTGAGGAAAGAGATGTGGAAAAGTCATTACAAATAACATATTTGAAGTACATCAAGATTTGGTGAAAGAGTAGTGAAATTTACATACGCGTGTCATTAAGAGAATGTGTTTTATTTTTGACATCCAAATATCGGATTTTTACTGCTTCTAAAAATAAGATTAGATGTAGTTCAAAGTTGCCAAAAATGAACAACATCCCTCCAATGACACGCAAATGTAAAATTCATAGGTTTTACACCCGAATTTGAAGCACTTCGGGTTACTAGTTGTGATGAAAATTCGACATCTTTTTCCACACTTTTTTTGCTGGGTGATGTCATACTTTACAAACTACATCTTAATCACATCTTAAAATGCGATTACATATTTTTCACTTTTATAAACCAAATATTTCCTTACAAATGAAACCCCAGTTAAAAGTGAGGAAAGAGATGTGGAAAAGTCATTACAAATAACATATTTGAAGAACATCAAGATTTGGTGAAAAAGTAGTGAAATTTGCATAAGCGTGTCATTAAGAGAATGTTTTTATTTTTGACATCCAAATATCGGACTTTTACTGCTTCTAAAAATAAGATCAGATGTAGTTCAAAGTTGCCAAAAATGAACAACATCCCTCCAATGACACGCTAATGTAAAATTCATAGGTTTTACACCCGAATTTGAAGCACTTCGGGTTACTAGTTGTGATGAAAATTCTACATCTTTTTCCACACTTTTTTTGCTGGGTAGTTTATTTTGTTAAAGTCCTTTCTAATAAGTCCTATACTCGATAATACATATTAGAAGAATAATATCACTTCCCAGATATTCCTTTTTTAGTTTATTTTGTCTGTGGAATCTTATATAAATATCATATTTAAAACACACAAGTTTGAATGGAATATAGGAGTTATTAGAAAGGACTTTAACCTATTTAATTTTAGTTGTTTAGTTAGATCGAGGTCTTTTGAGCTGTATTTTTATTTATGTTTATCAATTTTTATATATATTAATGTTAATGGAATATTAATGCATTAATTTTATTGCTTATTTAATGTTAATGTAAAATTAATGCACTAAATTCAGATATATTTAATGTTAATGCAAAATTAATGCATTAATTTGAAAAATATTTAATGTTAATGTAAAATTAATGCATTAAATTCAAAAATATTTAATGTTAATGGAAATTTAATGCATTAAATTTTAAAAATTTAATGTTAATGCAATATTTTTTACATTAAATTAATTTTTTTTTAATTTAATGTTAATGCAAAATTAATGGAAATCGCCCAGGTCTGAAAAATTGTGATGGAAATTATGCAGGGATGGAAAAAAAATAAAAAAGTAAAAAATTAAAAAAAAACAAGTTAGAGTGCTATATTCGGCTGAGCCGAATCTTCAATACCCTCCACCAGCTGCTTTTATATTAATACTTTTCTAATTGATCAAATATTTGTAGAAAAAAGTTTTCTCATATCTTAAATAGAATAAAAATGAATGTGTGTTTGTTTGTATGTTTGTATGTTTGAACGTTATAGACTACTAAACGGCTGAACCGATTTTCTTGAAATTTTCACAGCATATTCCTGCATGTCTGGAATAGGTAATAGGCTACTTTTTATTTCGAAATTTCAAGTGGGCGATGAGCCACGCCCACATTAAGAAAATATAAAATCCGTATATTTTAGATAATATAACAGTTAGAGTCCTCAAATTTTGTCGGAGCCACTTTAGTGTCAATATGATCATTTAGGACAAAAAGTAGGCGGACTAGCATTAGGGGGCGTGGTACCTCCCATATAAATTAAATACAAAAATTCGTTTATCTGGGAAACTAATAGAACTAAATTCTTAAAATTTTGCACAAAGAACTTTAACATCCATATAAACATTTTGGGTAAAAAATTGGCGGACTACCCATGAGGGGAGCGGCACCTCCCATATTAATTAAAAACAAAAATTCGTTTATCTGGGAAACTAATAGAACTAAATTCTTAAAATTTTGCACGAAGAACTTTAATATTCATCTGAACATTTTTAAGGAAAAAAGAGCGGACTTTCATCTGGGGGGCTTGGAGCCCCCATATGAATAAAATAGAAAAATTCGTATATCTGAGAAACAATTAGAGCTAGAATCATTAAATTTTACTTGAAGAACTTTGACATTCACCTGAACATTTAGAATATAACGGGCGGACTTCCAATGGGTTACTTGGTACCTCCCATATGAATTAAATACAAAATTTCGTTTAACTGGGAAACTAATAGAACTAGATTCTTCAAATTTTGAACAAATTATTTTAATAATCATCTGAATATTTTGGAGGAAAAAGGGCGGACTTTCATCCGGGGGGCTTGAAGCCCCCACATGAATTAAATTCGTATATCTGAGAAACTATTAGAGCTAGAATCTTAAAATTTTACATGAAGAACTTTGACATTCATGTGAACATTTAGAGAATAACGGGCGGACTTTCAATGGGGGGCTTGGCACCACATATATGAATTAAATACAAAATTTCGTGCATCTTGGAAACTCTTATATTATTCAAATTTTTTGTAGATAGATAGAAATTGGCGATAGATAGAAACTGGCGAACTTGCAATAATTTGCTTGACATCTTTTATATGTAACATATAATAAATCTGGTATTTATTTATACATATTCCTTTTAGGGTAGCAAAGCACACTGGGTATAGCTAGTCTTAAATAGAAAAATCCGTAGATTCAAACAGTTCAAATCTATTACAATTCCAAGATTTATTGAACATTACCAACGCTTGGCGATTTTTAGTAATTTGCATGTATGCATGTGTGTGAAAGATTTAAGGATTATCAAAATACATACAGTGGCGAGCAAAACTGGATACATATCAATCAAGTGTATGTTAAAAACCCAATAAAATCCAGAAAATATTAAACAATAATTTTATATTGGTTTTAAAATAAGCAATGGAAGAATAAGAAAATAAAACAATAGAAAATTCGCGAATATTGAAACTTTATCTCAAGTTTTAGCTAATTTTATTAAAAAAGTCTATGTATCCACTTTTGCACGTTTAAATTTAATTAATCTAGCAACACAAGTAAATTTAAAAATAACAATGAATTTGAGTACTGCTACTTAATTTACCTTTGAAGAAAGCATCAAAACAAACAGTTACCATTTTTGAGTCATATTTGTAATTTTTTTGCAAATATTTTAATTTTCTAGTTTTAATTAGAAAAATATCAAGTTTATTGGGAAACCAAATGGTCGAAATGACAAAAAATAATTACTGTGCTCGTCAAATTGCCAAGAAGTTAGGAATTTGCCACCGAAGAGTGCTACAAGTGCGAAAAAGAAAAATATGAGCACACCAGAAGTTAAGAAATGTCGATCGTGTTTGCTTTCGGAGAGAGATGCCAGAACTATGGAGCGTTTATTGACATCCAAACAGGTAAAAATACAAAAAACAGGCTATAGTCGCCGTAAAGCAGAAAACACCAGCGTTATCAGAAAAAAGTGTGAAGGATCGTCTTAAATTTAGCAAGAACCACAAAAATTGGAGTGTTGATGACTGGAAAAGGGTTATATGGTCCGATGAAACGAAAACTATACTGATGGCAAGGAATATTACTGGCACCGCCCTTATGAAAGCTTAAAAAAGCACCAAGTAAAACAAAAGAGTGAAACAAGCGGGTGGTAGTCTGATTGTGTGGGCTTGTTTCACTTGGTAGAATCTCGGTTCTTTAGTAAAATTAGATGCTATAATGAAAAAGGAGGATTATTTGAGCATTTTCAATCCAATATTCCAGATTTTGTGGAAGAATGTGCATATCCAGAGTCAGAGGTTATACTCCAACAGGATGGGGATCCGAAACATACGGCAAAAATCGTAAAGAATTGGCTTTCAGCGCAGAATTTTCAAACGATGCAATAGCCAACTCAATGCCCGGAAATCAATCCAATTGAAAATTTATGGGCTTTGTTAAAAAAACGTCTTGTGCAATTCGATAATGCACCAAGAAATCTTAAAGAACTTTGGTCGAGAGTACAAACGGAGTGGTCTAGTATTCCGCACCGGACCATTGAGACCTTGGTCAAAAGTACGCCTAAACGTATAAAAAGTGTCATA